GGGGGGGGGGATGTGAGGCATTTTGGGCCAAATTTTAGCTGACGTCATTTGTGACCGGTCCCAAACCAACCTGCACAAGTCGCGTTGTACACGTAGACATCGTCAATGGCAACGTCAGAGTCATAGTTAGCTCTGGTCGCTGCCTCAAAATCGATCTGCCAAAATAATAATAGTTACTAATAGTTTTGTTGTAATCAAAGAAGAAAAAGACACAGTCAGAAATAAGCTAGATGAAGAAGAATCACAGAGATTGATGAACAGAAAGTGGGAAGACACGGAATAACATCAAGAGGCTGTCCCAGGATAGACAAAAGTGGAAAGCGTTTGTCCATGGCCTGTACCCTGGTGCAGGGTGAGAAAGGCAATGATGATGATGATGACCGTAAAAATGGTCAACCACGGGAGCAAACAACAAATCAAGAATAGTCAAATCTATATACTCAGACAAAAGTAGCCTGGCTTTTTCATTAATTTTTTTTAATGGTGGGGTGCTGTTGTGTTGTTGTTTTTTTTCAAAATGCGTCACATTGTCTCTTGTTAGAAACCAAAAAGAGAACCGGAAAGGCTAATATGAACACAGGAAATAGGGCTACGTATACGGCCATGTTTTACACCAGATGTACATTGGATAGACACGTATTCACTAATATAACAGGTTTGTTTGTTTGCTTGTTTGTTTGTTTGTTTGTTTGCTGATTGTCTGTTTTGTTTTTTTAGTTTGTTTGTTTATTTTCAATCAGGTACATTTCGTGTCTCCATCTGACTGTTGGACAGTTGTATCTCTTTCTGTATACTGTCAGACCGCAGAAAAATGGCCTATACAGGCAAAATGTTTAGTAAGGGTGGGAAAATGGCCTGGAAGGAAAAAAAGTAAAAAAAACAACAAAAAACCTAGGGCTGGGCGGCTAGGTTCCAGATAAGTGAAAGTTAGGAATCGTTGGAATCGACTCCGAACCCAATTACTTACTTTCTACCGATGTGATTTCTCCAGGTGGTTACCTGATTGGCTCCGAACATCTTCAGTGTTTATGATAACCTTGATTTCAGAACACTACGAAGCATCAACTTTTATTTTTCAAAAATCATCATCATCCAGTGCCAGATCTGCGACAGATATCGGCGATCATGGTTCTTCATTCATTCCTTTGCTCGAATGCTCTCAAAAAGCTACATTTCCCTGATCTGCCCCTGTTACGTTTGTATTTATATAAAAAAGAACATTTGAATGATTACAGTAACTGGTAACCGTTGGTATAATATGTAAAAAGGAGTCGGAACTTTTCTTCCGCAGCATTAATCGTAGGAATCGGTTCCAGAATTGAATCTTCGCCCAACTCGAACAAAAACCCAACAATCCATCGTACCTTGAAACGGTGCGACGTGTACTCGCTATCCAGTTCAATCTGTGCATACTGCCAGCCATCATGTGAGGTAGTAGATGCTACGTACACGGGATAGCCGACACCCCCACCGATCTGAAACGATCAAACAGTAATAATTTATTATGGAATAGACCTATATTGTAATATGCTTTGATGCTAATTTCAATTCTTGAACAAGTTATTGAAAAGGAGGCTTTAACTTCTATGTTATTATCCAGCAAGGGGAGGATTGACTTGACTGAGTCCAGATGGAGGGCGGGGAGGGGGGTAGGGGGGTTTCTTGGATACTCTGCACACGCACGCGCACGCGCA